CCTCCCCAGAGAGCTTCGTCTCTGACGAAGGGAACGACACCCTTTTCTTGAGTGAGGTGGTTCGAGGTGCGGAATTGGTTGATTTTGGCGTAGACGGCTGCTTGTCATCTGTTTCTATGAAACCTGGCTTTAGCCCATCAGTAGAGACGGTTTTTTCTTTGTCGTTGTTGCGAATGACGAAGGTTCTTTCGTTCAGCCTCTTGATAATCTCGTGTGGACCCGTATATGGCGGCACCAGAGGTTTGCGGAAGGAGTCCACTCTCCTAAAAACGTGAGTGCACGTCCGCAGGTCCTTGAGCTGGAACGGGTATCGTTTGGAGTGGTCAGATGCCGGAACCGGTCTCACGGCGCGAATGAGCTTCCGGAACTTTCCTAGGAACTTCTGCGGTTCTGCTCGTAAACTATCTGAAACAAAAAATTCTCCGGGGATGCGTAAGGCCATGCCGAACAGCATCTCCGCCGGAGATGCCTGAAGGTTCTCCTTGAAAGCCGTGCGAAGGCCGAGGAGGGTTGAAGGCAGCAGGTCCAGCCAGGGCACGTGTGGGTTGCACATTAGTGCTGCCTTGAGCGTGCGGTGGAAACGCTCGACCATCCCGTTTGATTGAGGATGGTAAGGTGTGNCGTGCGAAGGCCAAGGAGGGTTGAAGGCATCAGGTCCGGCCAGGGCACGTGTGGGTTGCACATTAGTGCTGCCTTGAGCGTGCGGTGGAAACGCTCGACCATCCCGTTTGATTGAGGATGGTAAGGTGTAGTGCGAGTCCGTTCGGCTCCAATAATCTTGGAAAGCGATGTGAACATTGAAGACTCGAACTGGATGCCTTGGTCCGAAGTAATTGACAAGGGGGTGCCGTAGTTACAAACCCAATTTGTGAAGAATTTTTCTGCCACGGTGTCCGCCTACATATTCTGCATGGGCACTGCAATTGGCCATCTGGTGAACCAGTCGATGACTGTGAGGCAGTACTGGAATCCCTTTACCAGCGGCAGCTTGACGATGTCCACGTGCACATGTTCGAACCGGTTGTCTGGTGTAACAAACTCGCCGAGAGCAGAGCGGTTATGTTGGTGAATCTTGGCCTTTTGGCAATAAAGACACGTGCGTGCCCATTCTGCTGCGTCCTTTCTGAGTCCGGGCCAACAAAACTTCGTGGCCAGGAGTTTGACTGTGGCTCTGATGCTAGGATGAGAAAAGCCGTGGACCGCCCTGAAAGCCGTCCTACGGAGGGCCTGAGGGAGGTAAGGCCTGATGATGTCGTGAACCACGTTGCAAAAAACGTCGTGTCCTCGATGCGGAGCTGCTTTAAATCTAGTGCGGAGCCAACCAGGAGATCAGGCAGCTCGTCGTCGATCGCTTGGGCCTCTGAAATGCGCCCTGCATCGAGCGCCGTCGGCATCGAGATGGTGCAGGTGCGGGACAGAGCGTCGGCGACGACATTTTCCTCCCCCTTCACGTGGACTATGTCTGCAGTGAACTGGAGGATAAAATCCAAGTGTCTCTGCTGTCTCAGAGAGGCTTTGTCTGATCGTTGAGTTGAAGCGAAGGTGAGCGGACGGTGGTCTGTGCGGATTTGGAATTCTCTGCCCTCGAGGAAGCGTCTAAAATACTTAACTGCCGCGAACATAGCGAGGAGTTCGCGGTCGTAAGTACTGTAACGGGCTTCAGTCTTGCTGAGTTTTCTGGAAAAGAAATNCAGACACCGCTACCGTACTTTCGCAAATGCGCAAGTGGGGTTGCGCCTTTTACGGCCGCGATTCCCTGACATTTCTCGAACGAGTGGAGGAACTCAATGAGGGATACGGGTTCTCCGAAAGAGATCTCCTCCGGGGATTGCCTGAGCTGCTCCGCGGAGACAGTCTCTTGTGGTATCGCAACAACCGGACCACATGGCAGACCTGGGACGATTTTGAACAAGATCTCCGAGAGCAATACCTACCTCCAAGATATCAGGCGCTCCTAAAGAAGGAGATTAACAAACGTCTCCAGAAACCCGGAGAGCTCTATGCGCACTTTGAGACCGAGCTTCTGACGAAAATGCGCCGAGCCGGATACTACGCGGACGAGGAACGTCTCCTGCAGCTTTATGACAACCTCCAGCCGGACTATAAGCTGTACATCCGGATCGCCGACGTTCGGTCGATCAGGGACCTTCGCCAAAGAGCGATGGAGTACGAGGCCATCAACCGGAAGCGCCAGGAAAGTTGCGCCCGGACTCTGCCGCCCCGACCCGCTGCCATCGATGCCACCGCGTACGAGCGGAGCATGTGTTGCTGGCGCTGCAAACAACGTGGGCACACGCGCCTCCAATGCCGGAGGCCGGCCAGGAAGTTCTGCTCCCAGTGCGACAGGGACGGCGTGCTGACGTGCGAATGCCACCCGGTCCCGGGAAACGGCCAAGAGGCCAGCGCCGCGTCCAGCGACGACCGGCCCGTACAATCCACATCACTTACCGACCACGACCGCACGTAACCGTCGCCGTCAACAACCACCGTTTCGCAGCCCTGATCGATTCCGGGTCGGAGCTCACGTGCGTTAATGCCCGGACCGCCGCTCTAACCAGGCCAGTACACCAGGAGGCTCCTCCGCTTCACCATACCATCCGGTTGGCCGACGGGGCCACCATTCAGCCCACCAAGGCGATTTGTCTCCCTATACGGATCGGGACGCAAACCTTGAACCACCGATGTTACGTGGTACCGAGTCTCGAAAGCGACATCCTCATCGGCATCGACTTGTGGGCCAGGCTGCAGATACCGCTGCCGCCGCCACCGAAGGGATATTCAGACGCGATTCCGGCATTATGCCCGGTCTCTGCCGGGTTGAGATCGCGTACGCCCGACGAGGAAACCACCCTCAAGGAGTTCCTCGCCTCCGAACTCGCCGCGTTCGAGCGAATACGCGGACCCACGGACCTCGTGGAACACCGAATCCGATTAAAGGATCCACGGCCGATTAAACAACGATATCGTCCGCGCAACCCGGCGATGCAGCAGATCATCGACGACGAGGTAAGCCAGATGGAGGCCGAAGGCATTATCGAACCTTCCGATAACGCCTGGAGCTCACCCGTCGTCACCGTGAAGAAGCGTGATGGAGCGCCACGATTCTGCATCGACTTCCGCCGGCTTAATGACGTCACTGAGCGCGATGCCTATCCACTGCCGCATATAGCCGCCACCTTAGATAAACTCCGCGGAGCGCACTATCTTACTACGCTAGATTTAAAAAGTGGATATTGGCAAATCCCGCTCGCCCCGGAAAGCAAAGCGTTGACCGCATTCACGGTGCCCGGGCGTGGCCTGATGCAGTTCCGGGTGATGCCCTTCGGACTGCACTCCGCGCCCGCCACGTTCCAGCGACTTCTCGACCGCGTACTAGGACCAGCGTTGGAGCCACATGTCTTCGTATACCTAGACGATATTATTATAGTAAGCGCTACGTTTTCGGAACACCTCCGACATCTCTCAAAGGTATTCCGCCGCCTCCGCGCCGCTCGCCTACGAATAAACCCCGACAAATGCCGATTTGGAGTCGAGAGCCTCAAATATCTGGGGCACGTGGTTGATCGGGAAGGCCTTCGAACAGACCCCGACAAGGTCGCTGCCATCACCAACTGGCTAACACCGGCCACTCTACGACAAGTCCGCCAGTTCCTAGGACTTGCCTCGTGGTACCGACGGTTCGTGGCCGGATTTTCCAAACGAGTCGCGCCTCTGACGCGCCTCACCCGCAAGGGAGTCAAGTGGGCCTGGGGCGAAGCCGAGGAAGCCACCTTCCAAGACATCAAGCGAGCTCTCGTCACCACGTCGGTACTGGCATGCCCAGACTTCATACGTAGCTTCGTCATCCAAACAGACGCGAGTAACCACGGCCTCGGAGTAATCCTAACGCAACACTTCCCGGAAGGAGAACGTGTCATTGCGTACGGAAGCCGCACGCTCTCCAACGCTGAGAAAAACTATAGCGCCACCGAATTAGAGTGCCTGGCCGTGGTATGGGGAATACGGCGAATGAGAGGGTACCTTGAAGGGTACCACTTCACCGTGATCACCGACCACCAATCGTTGCGATGGCTTCAGCGACTGGAGTCACCCACCGGCCGACTCGCGCGATGGCTGTTTGATTTGCAACAATACAGCTTTGAGATCCGCTATCGCAGGNTTGCAACAATTCAGCTTCGAGATCCGCTATCGCAGAGGTTGCGCCAACAAAGTGGCCGACGCACTCTCCCGCCGATCCGCCGTATGCGCTCTCCGAGACATCCGCTGCCCGTGCTTCAAAAAACTCCACAAAGGCATTCGAACCGATCCGACGGCGTGGCCAGACTATACGATACAACAGGGGCGGGTATATCGGCACCTCCTTCACGAGCTTGATTTCCGGGACACCCCGCCAACGAACAATGAAAAGAGTGCGTCCAACGCGACCAACGGAATCAAATCCTGCAGCAACTCCACGACGACCCAACAGCGGGACATCTAGGGATCGCAAAGACGATTAGCCGCGTCGCCAGAAGATATTATTGGCCCGGAATGTTCCGAGATATCGCTCGTTACGTATGCGTATGCTCGAGTTGCCTCGCGCACAAAGCCGTCCAGCGCCGACCGATCGGCCTCATGCGGACCATCGCCGTCAAGGCCCCATGGCGACACGTCGCGATCGACTTCGTCGGCCCGCTACCTCGATCCGCCAGCGGTCATACCTGGTTACTGACGATCCAGGACCGTTTCTCCAAATGGATCGAGCTCTGCCCTCTCCGTCGGGCCACCGCGCCAGCCGTAATCACCCAGCTCACCAAACGGGTTATCTACCGTCACGGCTGTCCGGAGGTCGTCGTGTCCGATAACGGGAAACAATTCAAGTCGCGACAGCTGGCCGCCCTGTTGCGAGCATTCAGCATCCAGCATCGTACCGCACCCGTCTATACGCCGCAGTGCAACCCCGTCGAACGCGCCAACCGCACCATCAAGACGATGATCGCGCAATACACCGGGAAGAACCAACGAAAGTGGGATGAAGCGATCCCCGCCATACAATTCACGTTTAACACCGCCACGCAGGAATCGACGGGCTACACTCCGGCGTACCTTAATCACGGACGAGAGCTGCGCACTCCATCCGACAACCAGCGTCCTGGTACCGCGCCCCCAACGCCGGAGGAACATCGAAAGCATCTCGAGAATGCTTTCGAACTGGTACGCATTAATCTCGCGCGCGCCTTCCAGAAGCAAGAGCGGTATTATAACTTACGCCGGCGGCAATGGAAACCCCGGGTAGGAGAACGCGTGTGGAAGCGTAACCACGTGCTTTCCGATAAAGCCCGCGCGTTTAATGCGAAATTGGCCCCCCGTTATAGCGGCCCGTTTACCGTCTTCCGTGTTGTTTCACCCGTCATAGTTGATCTGAAAGATCAACGCGGACGTGTGGTTCCGCACATCCATGTACAAGATGTCAAGCTGGTAAACAATCCGGAGTCGGAAACCTGCGACTCGGAAGGGGAAGAAGAACCGACGCTAGCACCGATATAAGCGGGCCACCAGAGAAATTTCGAGCACTTGCGATCGGTCATGACCAACCGACAGGAGCAGAAAGCACGCCAGCTCTGGTGCGATCTCTGCTTGTCAGAGGACGACGATCCACCGCAGCCGACAAGACCACCGATCCCCGCAGTTGGCACTCGGATCCAGCGATCAGATGCCGCGAACAAACGCAAGATGGCTTGGTTGACGCAGCCCGTTCTACCACCAGCACGGAAGTGGCCCGCACCGAGTCGACCGGGGGGAGCACCAAGACCGACGGCCTCCACCAGCCAGCCGACCACGCCGCCTGAACAGGCTCCCGCGCCGCTGCGAGCCAAAGGACCGCAACCACCACCACCGGTCCGTGTGGAGTATGCACCCGGGAAAATAGCGGAGGTGCTTTACTTCGCCGTGCATACCTCCAGGCGCTACCGTCTCAACACAGCCGAGGGGCGATGGACGCTGCGATTCACTCGCCAGGGCGAACTCCGGTGCAACCAACCGTCCGCAGCAAAGGCTCGGGACGAACCTACTAGAGGAGGGGGGTAATGTAACGATGCACCCCCCCGGCGAACACCGCGGCCGACCGACCATCCGTCGGCCGCGAAACGGCGCTCAGCGCCAATAAACAAATCCACACGCGGAGCACGCAACCGACACGTGCACATGTAGGCAACAACATTTGTTGTTGTTGTTAAGCACGTGTCGGAAAAACCGCGGTTTAGCGGTATAAAAGACCGCTCCGCCGTACCATCGAGACCAGACTCCGCCGGAGTCAGCCGAGATCGGAAGATCAGAAGCTGCTCCGGATGCCATCCCCAGGCCGAGGGACCCTATTTACGTTAAAGGTTTGCAAAAAAAAGATTGGTTGCTGTCTCTGCTTGGGGACTGCGACATGACTGTCGGCATAGAAACAATCGATATGGATTATGAAGACATTGGTCGTTTGGAAACATTGATAGGAGAATCATCCTTTCTATGCGGACGACATCTGAAAAATTCCGCATTACGTAATATTATGCATCTACACACTTGGTGGTCGCAGAGACATAATCAATTGGCTGATTATCTTTAAAATAAAAAACCTCTCTCCAAAAACATTGTAATATTATATTTTTTAAACAAATTATACTTCAATCATACACATGTACACTAAATAAAAACACATATATATTATTTATTGGATCTTCCCCCTTTTTATTCCTCCTCTTTTCCGCGTTAGAAACAATTATTATCTTTCTTTCTTATCATAATGGAAAAGTATTTCCGCTTTATCACCCCTCCCCCTAGTGGACAGAATACGCGCGCGGAAAAGATACGAAGTTTTTCGATCTCGCTGAGGTCAACCGCATTTTGATATCTAATGTGCGTGTTGCACTTGCATTTTATTTTATCATAAACGGCAAGATATCTTTTATCAAGACAACTTTTATCGCCTTCCCTGACCGGTGAACAGAACATGTGCACAGTTTTTTATTACTATCGCCATTTGCGACCACATCCTTGTTAAAAATTACGATACAATGATGTGTAGTTGGTATAAAAAGACGACGACCAACCTCTGTGAAACATTAGATCGTCCATCATCGTCAGTAACGCGCTAAAGAAAAGAAGATGTCTTCACATTATTACTACTACTCCTGCGACGATGACGAGGCTGAAGAGTACACCGAAGAAGAGAAAGAGTCTCTTAAAAAATATTATCAGGAATTTCGCAAAAAATTTCCTAACGCGCGTATTCTCCCGGCTGATTATTTTGAAGAACTATATGAAGACGGCGAGAATTGTCCCCTCGTGGACGGCGTCCCGTGGTATTACCACGGCATCCCACCACCACCACCACCACCACCATCCGCGTCGTCGTCGACATCATCCCGGCAGGAAGAACAAGAAAAATTTGAAGTCGACAACTCGTCTACAGAGGATACAGCCTCTAAATCCAATACCGCCGCTGGTACTTTCACCGCCAACGCCGCTGTAGGAAATAACGAGGGAAAGAACGAACGAGTAAATTCCTACAAGAGAAAAGCCCGTAAATTGAGAAAACCCCCTTTCACAAATCTGTAAATTATATAAAAATTCTATCTGAACCAAATAATAAAAAAATACGCCATTATAAAAAAATAATGAAATAAATAAAATATATATACTTTATTTCTCACCATATTTGTGATATATTCTTTTATTTCACACATTTCTTTCCTCTTTCTCCTCTTCCCTCTGCGATAAGATAAAAATGCGTATCATATCGTAATTTATTTTTAAATTTATTCGCGTCTCACATTTCGTCACACGAGCGAGCGTTATCAGATCTTTCTCCTCCTCCTCCTCCTCCTCCTTTTTCTTTATCTCTCTCTCTCTCTCGGGAATAGAAATAAATTATAAGATATAATACGTATCGCATAATCGATCAGTAATGCGTCACATTTCGTCACGCGAACGAACATTATTTTATTATTATTACTACAACAGTATGAATCGACTTTCCGGGGAGAAAACAACTGTGTGTATGTAAAATATTATCATCTAAATTATTATTATTACAACAGCATGAATCAACTTTCCGGGAAGTAAACAGCTGTGTGTGTGTGTGTGTGTGTGTGTGTGTGTGTAAAATATTATCATCTAATGAAACCGCAACACATCCAAATGATTTTTCCCCGAGTTTTCCAACTATAAAAGAACGACGACGACGAGATATTTCTTTAAAAACGTGCATATAATCAACGTATGAAAAAGTGTTTTAATATGTCTGATACCAGTGACATCGATATTTTCTGCAATAAATCACTACCATCATCATCATCATCATCATCATCACACACCGAAAATAATTATCCGTTCAACTATCTTTATGCGCACAAGGAAAAATCATATTGGAATCTAGCGACGTACAGTCTGAGACGAGAAATCGGGCTCGATATTACGCGCGAATAGATGTGGATTAAAACAGCAGTGGCTTGCAGTCACAGAGCCGCGCGTTACATACGCCAAATATCACGAGGAAACATTGTTCGGCGAGTTGAATTTCTCATTCCCACAGACAATCAGGGTTCAACTATGTGGTTACGTGCCAATCGACCGAGTAAATAATCAACTATAAGAAAAAAAGAGAGAGAGAAGAAACAGCGTAAACGAATATGAACGCGGAGGAGGAGGAAGAGACTCGAGATTTACTCGAAACTGCCATCGGCATTGATTCGCGCGAGGCTTATCACGCTTGGATACGACGATACGAGCGTTGTTTGGAATCTCTGCGCGCCAGATGCCGAGATAGGCATCGACGAATCTCTACTGGTAGGCGAAATTCTCTGATCTTTCGAACAGCACAACTGGAAGGTGCGAGATACGCTTTAGATCAACGATTCGTACAAACGGGTGCGGGCCATGCGGAATTATCATGGNAACGGGTGCGGGCCATGCGGAATTATCATGGGTCGAGATCGAAACGGCTTTTAACAATCGCGTGCTGACAGGCGCGGTGATAAATTCACGCTACATCGAACCTCGACGATTTCTCGAAGACGCGCGACCATTGGTTCTCGCTCGAGTGCGTGATTATCTCGAAAGATACGCGTGCTTGAAGATAAATACTATATTTAACGGCGAATTTATCGCACAAA